GGACTGTGATGTGTGTTATGCACATGGACTGTGATGTGTGTTATGCACATGGACTGTGATGTGTGTTATGCACATGGACTGTGATGTGTGTTACGCACATGGACTGTGATGTGTGTTATGCACATGGACTGTGATGTGTGTTATGCACATGGACTGTGATGTGTGTTACGCACATGGACTGTGATGTGTGTTATGCACATGGACTGTGATGTGTGTTACGCACATGGACTGTGATGTGTGTTACGCACATGGACTGTGATGTGTGTTACGCACATGGACTGTGATGTGTGTTACGCACATGGACTGTGATGTGTGTTACGCACATGGACTGTGATGTGTGTTACGCACATGGACTGTGATGTGTGTTACGCACATGGACTGTGATGTGTGTTATGCACATGGACTGTGATGTGTGTTATGCACATGGACTGTGATGTGTGTTACGCACATGGACTGTGATGTGTGTTACGCACATGGACTGTGATGTGTGTTACGCACATGGACTGTGATGTGTGTTACGCACATGGACTGTGATGTGTGTTATGCACATGGACTGTGATGTGTGTTACGCACATGGACTGTGATGTGTGTTATGCACATGGACTGTGATGTGTGTTACGCACATGGACTGTGATGTGTGTTACGCACATGGACTGTGATGTGTGTTATGCACATGGACTGTGATGTGTGTTACGCACATGGACTGTGATGTGTGTTACGCACATGGACTGTGATGTGTGTTACGCACATGGACTGTGATGTGTGTTACGCACATGGACTGTGATGTGTGTTATGCACATGGACTGTGATGTGTGTTATGCACATGGACTGTGATGTGTGTTATGCACATGGACTGTGATGTGTGTTATGCACATGGACTGTGATGTGTGTTATGCACATGGACTGTGATGTGTGTTATGCACATGGACTGTGATGTGTGTTATGCACATGGACTGTGATGTGTGTTATGCACATGGACTGTGATGTGTGTTACGCACATGGACTGTGATGTGTGTTATGCACATGGACTGTGATGTGTGTTATGCACATGGACTGTGATGTGTGTTATGCACATGGACTGTGATGTGTGTTACGCACATGGACTGTGATGTGTGTTATGCACATGGACTGTGATGTGTGTTATGCACATGGACTGTGATGTGTGTTATGCACATGGACTGTGATGTGTGTTACGCACATGGACTGTGATGTGTGTTATGCACATGGACTGTGATGTGTGTTACGCACATGGACTGTGATGTGTGTTACGCACATGGACTGTGATGTGTGTTATGCACATGGACTGTGATGTGTGTTACGCACATGGACTGTGATGTGTGTTACGCACATGGACTGTGATGTGTGTTACGCACATGGACTGTGATGTGTGTTACGCACATGGACTGTGATGTGTGTTATGCACATGGACTGTGATGTGTGTTATGCACATGGACTGTGATGTGTGTTATGCACATGGACTGTGATGTGTGTTATGCACATGGACTGTGATGTGTGTTATGCACATGGACTGTGATGTGTGTTATGCACATGGACTGTGATGTGTGTTATGCACATGGACTGTGATGTGTGTTATGCACATGGACTGTGATGTGTGTTACGCACATGGACTGTGATGTGTGTTATGCACATGGACTGTGATGTGTGTTACGCACATGGACTGTGATGTGTGTTACGCACATGGACTGTGATGTGTGTTATGCACATGGACTGTGATGTGTGTTACGCACATGGACTGTGATGTGTGTTACGCACATGGACTGTGATGTGTGTTACGCACATGGACTGTGATGTGTGTTATGCACATGGACTGTGATGTGTGTTACGCACATGGACTGTGATGTGTGTTACGCACATGGACTGTGATGTGTGTTATGCACATGGACTGTGATGTGTGTTATGCACATGGACTGTGATGTGTGTTATGCACATGGACTGTGATGTGTGTTACGCACATGGACTGTGATGTGTGTTACGCACATGGACTGTGATGTGTGTTATGCACATGGACTGTGATGTGTGTTATGCACATGGACTGTGATGTGTGTTATGCACATGGACTGTGATGTGTGTTACGCACATGGACTGTGATGTGTGTTACGCACATGGACTGTGATGTGTGTTACGCACATGGACTGTGATGTGTGTTACGCACATGGACTGTGATGTGTGTTATGCACATGGACTGTGATGTGTGTTACGCACATGGACTGTGATGTGTGTTACGCACATGGACTGTGATGTGTGTTACGCACATGGACTGTGATGTGTGTTACGCACATGGACTGTGATGTGTGTTATGCACATGGACTGTGATGTGTGTTATGCACATGGACTGTGATGTGTGTTATGCACATGGACTGTGATGTGTGTTATGCACATGGACTGTGATGTGTGTTATGCACATGGACTGTGATGTGTGTTATGCACATGGACTGTGATGTGTGTTATGCACATGGACTGTGATGTGTGTTATGCACATGGACTGTGATGTGTGTTACGCACATGGACTGTGATGTGTGTTATGCACATGGACTGTGATGTGTGTTATGCACATGGACTGTGATGTGTGTTATGCACATGGACTGTGATGTGTGTTACGCACATGGACTGTGATGTGTGTTACGCACATGGACTGTGATGTGTGTTATGCACATGGACTGTGATGTGTGTTACGCACATGGACTGTGATGTGTGTTACGCACATGGACTGTGATGTGTGTTATGCACATGGACTGTGATGTGTGTTATGCACATGGACTGTGATGTGTGTTATGCACATGGACTGTGATGTGTGTTATGCACATGGACTGTGATGTGTGTTACGCACATGGACTGTGATGTGTGTTATGCACATGGACTGTGATGTGTGTTACGCACATGGACTGTGATGTGTGTTATGCACATGGACTGTGATGTGTGTTACGCACATGGACTGTGATGTGTGTTATGCACATGGACTGTGATGTGTGTTATGCACATGGACTGTGATGTGTGTTATGCACATGGACTGTGATGTGTGTTATGCACATGGACTGTGATGTGTGTTACGCACATGGACTGTGATGTGTGTTATGCACATGGACTGTGATGTGTGTTATGCACATGGACTGTGATGTGTGTTATGCCCATGGCCTTCTCCACCCACTCACAGTGTCTCATGCACCCTTTCCCACTCACAGTGTCTCATGCACCCTTTCCCACTCACAGTGTCTCATGCACCCTTTCCCACTCACAGTGTCTCATGCACCCTTTCCCACTCACAGTGTCTCATGCACCCTTTCCCACTCACAGTGTCTCATGCACCCTTTCCCACTCACAGTGTCTCATGCACCCTTTCCCACTCACAGTGTCTCATGCACCCTTTCCCACTCACAGTGTCTCATGCACCCTTTCCCATTCACAGTGTCTCATGCACCCTTTCCCACTCACAGTGTCTCATGCACCCTTTCCCACTCACAGTGTCTCATGCACCCTTTCCCACTCACAGTGTCTCATGCACCCTTTCCCACTCAGTGTCTCATCCACCCTTTCCCACTCACAGTGTCTCATGCACCCTTTCCCACTCACAGTGTCTCATGCACCCTTTCCCACTCACAGTGTCTCATGCACCCTTTCCCACTCACAGTGTCTCATGCACCCTTTCCCACTCACAGTGTCTCATGCACCCTTTCCCACTCACAGTGTCTCATGCACCCTTTCCCACTCAGTGTCTCATGCACCCTTTCCCACTCACAGTGTCTCATGCTCCCTTTCCCACTCACAGTGTCTCATGCACCCTTTCCCACTCACAGTGTCTCATGCACCCTTTCCCACTCACAGTGTCTCATGCACCCTTTCCCATTCACAGTGTCTCATGCACCCTTTCCCACTCACAGTGTCTCATGCACCCTTTCCCACTCACAGTGTCTCATGCACCCTTTCCCACTCACAGTGTCTCATGCACCCTTTCCCACTCACAGTGTCTCATGCACCCTTTCCCACTCAGTGTCTCATGCACCCTTTCCCACTCACAGTGTCTCATGCACCCTTTCCCACTCACAGTGTCTCATGCACCCTTTCCCACTCACAGTGTCTCATGCACCCTTTCCCACTCACAGTGTCTCATGCACCCTTTCCCACTCACAGTGTCTCATGCACCCTTTCCCACTCACAGTGTCTCATCCACCCTTTGCCTCTCACAGTGTCTCATGCACCCTTTCCCACTCACAGTGTCTCATGCACCCTTTCCCACTCACAGTGTCTCATGCACTCTTTCCCACTCACAGTGTCTCATGCACCCTTTCCCACTCACAGTGTCTCATGCACCCTTTCCCACTCACAGTGTCTCATCCACCCTTTCCCACTCACAGTGTCTCATGCACCCTTTCCCACTCACAGTGTCTCATGCACCCTTTCCCACTCACAGTGTCTCATGCACCCTTTCCCACTGACCCTCACTCTTACCCCCTCATAATCTCACTTTCACTATCCGCTCCTTTCTCCCCCCCCCTGCTGTCCCCATCCCAGTGCCACCCTCTCTGTGGGTTGTTCCAACCTCAACTTCTCTTCTGATTTTGCCGCCCATTTCAACTCCACCTTCCGCCATGACCTCGCCACGTGGAGCCTCTTCATTGGCTGGCCAGAGCGGTCAGCTTCCGGAAACGTTCCTGCCTCTGCAAGCACAGATGGTGCTGCTGACATGGGGGTAGGCAAATTCAATTCCATGACGTCAGCTATCATCTCCTCAAATACCACCGCCTCAGATACCACCTCCCCAGGTACCACCTCCCCAGATGCCACCTCCCCAGATACCACCTCTCCAAGCAGCCTAGCCTCGCCCTGCACATCAGGATCCATTCCCGGCCGCTGGAAGAAGGATAGCAGTGGCAATTACACGTGAGTGTCCCCCTCTCACACGCTGTCAACCCATCTCACCCACTGTCAAACCATCTCACCCACTGTCACCCCACCTCACCCACTGTCACCCCACCTCACCCACTATGATCCAGTGTGATGCTCGAACTGACTGATGCCACTCCACTTGAGTGACTTGCAATGCCTGAGGCTCCACTCGCCCCACTTGTCGGAGCCTCTATGCCTGCGTTCTCCCGTCCCGTGCAGTGCGTCTCTTTGCTCATCTCCCCTCCATCCCCTCCCCTCCAACCGGTCCCCTCCCCGCCTCCCCTCCACTGCCTCCCCGCCACCGCCTCCCCTCCATCCCCTCCCCTCTACCGCCTCCCCTCCATCCCCTCCCCTCTACCTACCGCCTCCCCTCCATCCCTCCCCTCTACCGCCTCCACTTCAGCTGGACCTTCTTCCCCTGTGCGCCGCCGTTATCGCCTCCCAGCGGTTGGATCTCGGATCTACGGCGCAAGGGCATAGAGGAGATCAACATAGTGGGGGACTCGCACCAGAGGGGGCTGGCAAACCACCTGCACTTCCTGCTGTCGGGGCGAGTGAAGCACAGAGAGCATGATCCGCGCTTCAACTACACCCTGCAGTCCACCAATGCAAACCAGGAGTCGTTCAGGATCAACTTCTATTGGATCGATGGGATCTACCACAATGGGGAATTTGGTTGTGGGTGAGTGTGAGGCCGTGGGTGAGTGTGAGGCGGCAGGTGAGCGTGAGTTCGTGTGTGAGTATGAAGTCATGGGTGAGTGTGAGGTCGTAGGTGAGTGTGGGGGGAGCGATGACATCTGCATGAAGTGATGCCATCTCTACCAAACCCTCAGCCCTACTCTCGCCCCTCAGGACCCCTTGGTCAATTCTTTCCATCACCTCTTCACCACACAGAATCCCATCCCAACACCACATCCCCAATCATGTGAGACGTCTCAAAACCAATTGTTATCACGCGGCTATTCCATTGGTTTTGACCACACAGCATCCCGTCTTAACAACACATCCTTGATCACCAGCTCGCCACAGCTGACGTCAGCACATCCTAGAGGCGGGCCATTGACTGACTGCTAAGCCAACACACGAGGCTAACCGCCTCTCCATTCTACCTTCTCCGCTCAATTCCCTATCGCAAATGACCCCTCTACACCCTTGATAACTCCACTATACTCAAACGCCATCCCCTTTCCCCCGTGCTTCCCTTGAACCCCCCCCCCCCCTCTCAAACACCCCGGCAGTGACAGAGGCAAGACGAGCAATCGCACGGACGCATTCCCATCCGTCATCTCTCCCACAGCTGACGTCACCGTGCTGAACGCGGGCGCGTGGTCGGACAGGTTCTGTGCGGAGCCAATCAAAGCCATGCGCGCCCACCTCCCGGAATTTCTCAACTGGGGATTGCAGTTCACCGGCCGAAGCGGCAAGCCCTTGGTGCTGCGCACTGCAACGCCCGTGCCCAGTGGGGGTGACCACTGTGAACGATACACCAACTTGTCGGTCGGCCCGTCCGCCAACCTCGCCATCATGGAGCTCAACCGGGTGATGCGAGAAGTGGCTGCTGGGAAGGATTCAAGGCTGTCTGTGCCCTCGCTGCCGGTTTTTGACGGGTGGAGGATTGAATTGCCTCGGTATCTGGACAATTGCCCGTACAAGAATCGGCATTATACGTGTTATTATAAGCCGCACTTCTGGAGTGGATATAAGATTGGAGGGGTGGTGGGGGAGGCTATAGTGCGTGGATTTCTACACTTCCTACTTTACGAGTTATAAAGCTTTGACACACACTTCCGCAATATTACAATTTTTAACACATTTTGTTTTTCAATACCGTGTATTGTGAAAGCAAAGCTGCTTGTACTGAGTATTCGGCATTGTTGAAGCGCGCTAAACGCCCTTCTCGTGGGTTGGAGTTCATTTCTCTCCACCCATGTTTCTCTAATTATAACAGCACAATCAACATCTCCGTTCGAGTAAAGTGCCACCTATAGGACCCGCCGGTAAGAGGGTCCCCGGGACTCTTGAAGGAGCAGAGGGACTCTTATTGCGGCAGATTTTGTGAGGACCCCCCCTTTGTCGCTAATCAATATAAGACCCCCCCCCCCCCCCCCCCCCTTTCCCCAACTGAGTTTGGTGCAATTATCACTGTTACTGTAATAACTACACACACATCTCAACATCTAGTGGTCACTACAACTACAGCATGGTCATGATAGATTCCATCAAGCACTCTACTTCAAGGAACCAATAACCCCTCCTCCTCATCTCCCTCCTCCTCCTCCTCCTCCTCCTCCTCCTCCTCCTCCTCCTCCCTCCTCCTCCTCCTCCTCCTCCTCCTCCTCCTCCTCCTCCTCCTCCCTCCTCTCCTCCTCCTCCTCATCCTCCTCCTCCTCCTCCTCCTCCTCCTCCTCCTCCTCCTCCTCCTCCTCCTCCTCCTCCTCCTCCTCCTCCTCCTCCTCCTCCTCCTCCTCCTCCTCCTCCTCTCCTCCTCCTGCAGGTCCCCGGCATCCTCAGCATCCGCTGCCTTTGCCGCCTCCTCATCCTCCGCGGCTGTGGCGAACAGCGGGTTCACCCACTCCTCCACCTTAGGGGCGACGTGCACGTCTTGTGCCACCTCGACCTCGCCCGCATCGCGCATGTGGGCCAGGACGAGGTGATCTTGCGTCCCATCGACCGAGTTGCTGATGTCTGTCGTGAGAAATGCCTTCTCAATAATGTGCTCGGGGACGGCCGCCCAAGCACTCGCAATCCACTTGAGGACCGTCTCTGCCGGCGGCTTTTTCAGGTTGCCTGCCATGTAAACGGTAAAGAAGAGGCACAAGGCGCACACGGGGAATTGTATTGCAAACAAGCAGCTACAAACACGCCACAAGGCGAGGTACTTGGAAGCCTCCGAAACTCACCGGCTTTCGTGAACGTGTTGACGCCAAACTCGGCGAACCAGTCGTTGTAGAGCTGACGGAGCAGTGCCTTGAACGAGCGATTGACGCTCACATCAAGGGCTGCAGCAGCGGGGTGCAGCCCCCGGGAATTATGGCCGGGATTACCCGGTTCCACTTCATGTTGGTGAGAACGCCGTCGGTGAGGTGGCCCCGGTACGAGTCCACGACGAGAAGCGTCTTGGACCGCCGGATGCCACGCGGAGGCTTGATGAACGGCAGGAGAACGTTGTTCACCCAGTCATCCACTAGCTTAGCATCCATCCAGCCTTTCGCCTGCGCACGGACAACGACTCCTGCAAGGAAAACAACGCACGTGGTTAGAAATCTGCCACGCAGAGAGACTCCCGTGATGGTTACATCTGTCGCAACGCACCTGCAGGGACCCGAATTTTCGGGATCGTTTTGCGCTTGAAGATAACCATGGCGGGGAGCTTGCGCCCGTCCGCGGTGATCCCGAGCATGACAGTCACCCTGTCCTTCTCGTAGCCCGCGCTCCTGACGTGCACCGTCTTCTCTCCGCGGTGATGCAGGGTACGCTCGTGCGGCATCTCCAGGAAAACGGGCGTCTGGTCGGCGTTTATAATGTTCCATGCGTCGATGCCATGCTTGATGATGTTCCTCCTCGTGAACGCCTAGAACTTCTCACACTTCGGCTTGCACTCTGCCACGAACGACCACAAGGAGGGAGAAGGACATTAGTGATGGCGGTGTGTTAAGCATGAGTGTAACATGTCGCTGAGCAAACTGTAGACGCACACACATGGATGGAAGCACAAGAATAACTCACCCGCTGCCATATGCTGACCCATCTTCGTCTTTACGCGGATGGAGAGGCCCAAACGCTGGCGGGAGCGAAACGTCCACCTGTTGGACGCCATCCACCTCACATCAGGGTAATGCGTCTTCATCTAGCACCGGCTCCAGTGCTTGATGAGACGAATATGCACGGCCAAGGCCCGTCCGCGGAAGTTCAGTAGCCGCTTATAGGTGTGCGCCTCCATGTCGGGATATTTCGCCTTTCGCCCTCCACCACTCAGTCGGCGCCTGGATGGTGCTGCCTTCTTAATCCGATCCGCCGCCCTTATCCACCGGCGGACACTGACAGGCTGCACCCCGGCGAGTCGTGCAGTGGCACGGACGGAGAGCTTCTCATCCTCCATCCGCCCGAGCCATTCCTGCTTCTCACCCATGGTTCGCGCCGTGCGACGGTGGTTTGTCTTGCGGGCGCTGTGGTGTGTTGGAGCACCGTCAACGTTGGAGCGAGGCCCGTTCTCGTCGTGGATCAAGTCATCAGGGAACTTCGGGATCGGAAAATCCCCGACGTCGTCTTCCATGTTCTCGTTCTCGGCGTCCTCGGCGACGGGTTCGGGAAACCCCTCATCCTCGACCAGGTCCAACGGAGGTGTGGTGCGCCAGTCGACGAAGCCCGGGGGAAGCACAGGAGGCGCAGGTGGCGCCGGAGGCGCGGGAGGTGCGGGAGGTGCAGGAGGTGCTGGACGAGGTGGCGGGGCCGGGCTAGTAATTAGTACGATTGCGGGCTGACCAGAGCCAGTGCCTACAGGAGAACGGCGAGAACGCCATGGGCTTTCGAAAGCCGACATGGCGAGGAGCTGATACAGTTCTAATGACTTCTGGTTCTCTAAGTGGCAGGCGCCATGGCGGGCTATTTAGATGGGAAGGAAGCTAGCGGGCCAGGCAAGATCTGAAACAGGGAAAGGGAGGGGATGAAAGCTTGCGTACTCGGCAGAGTGAGGGACGTGAAACATTAGTGCTTCACGTCCAGTGCCCATTCTGCCACAGAGACAGGATGGGGTGGCCAGGGGCCACCTGGCGTGCCCATCTTGACGGGAAACACCGTCAAGATGATGTGCCGTGCGGGGCAAACGCCGTTCAGTCCGCCCTCGTGCTCTGATTCTCGCCGCGTGTCATTCCCGATGACGCGCACGTTGTGCACCAAGCGAAAGATTCAAGCATAAAAAAATGCAAGACCCCCCCCCCTCCCCCCCCTTGTAACGAGCTGGTACATGGTAAATCCAATAAAGTTAATAGATAAATAAGTGTACCCCGGGTCTTAAAAATTTGCAACCGCCATGATGTCCCCCCTAGCATTTTTTAGAGCATTTGTAGAGAGTCCCCCGGGTCCTATAGGTGGCACTTTACGGTAGCTTTTTCTTCCGTCCAAGCTGGCTAGAACTCACAGTCTCCCCAGAGGCGTGTCACCCTCAACATTAATGCGCGACATTTTTAGCTATAATCGCTCAACTATGGCATCCACGCCGACACTTAACCGCGGCAATTCGTCCACTCCGACTTCCGACTCCGGCCGTAACGCCCGAAAATTGACGGGCGACAGCCGTAACAAGCTGCGGGCAGACGAAGGATCGCCCGCCCAGACTGCAGTGGACGTGCTGTTGGGCGGGCTCGAGGTCAACAAAAACGCCAGCGCCCCCCTCCAGCAGCACCCTTCGATGCCTGCGTTGTGGCGCTAGTGGCGCCTGAGGCACCAATGGCGCAAGTGACAACGAAAATGCCTGCAGCACTTGTGGCACCACACGCGCCTGACAGCGCGCGCCAGCGCCTGTGGCTGGACCGTCGCGTCAGCGCCAGAGGCAACGGCGTCTTCGTCTGACGCGTCGACCCCGGCGTTGATCACGGCGTTGACCCCGGACCAAGTCACCGCGCTTCTGTCCCTGTTACAGCTGCAGCTCGTCACCGTTACAGCTGCGGAAACTGCACTACCCCAGGCCTCTGCTGCAGAGATTAACTCTACAACGGTGGGAGCTAGACTACGGGGTTGGCACGAGTTGTCGGAGTGATCGTAGCTCTGTCAGGTTCTCTAGGAGTTGTGTTTTCACAGGGCAAAACAGCAAGAGTTTCACTATGAAAGTTGAGAATAACATAGTTCAGAATAAAACAAGCAATGACAAAGATTGACTACATCACATGCAAGGTTTGCTAGCACTCAGGCAGGTCGATCGCCAGCACGACAAAGTTGACGACCTGCCAACGCAGCATCTCCACGGCCCGCCAACGCAGCTGGTGTGCGACTTGCCAACGCTGCAGAATGGCGGCCTGCCAACGCTGCATCCGCGCGGCTTGCCAACACTGCACCCGCAGGTGATTGTAAGCGCATGTGCAAGCACCTACTTCGCAGGTGCTTGTAGACAGTTATGCACGACGTGCACTGTCAAGTACATTGCGCAGGTTGTCAGCCACATGCAAACGGTTGCACCTGACGAGCCACGTCGACCACGTGCTGCCACGTCAGTCGACTTCGCCACAGCAGCCTCGACGACGTTCGCGCACCTTCGCGCACCTCGTCGAGCAGGTAACTTGGTCAACCAGGAAAGGTTCCTGGCAACTCTGCAGGATGATGTCCTTCGTCATCACCGGTTGACGACCTTCGTCGTCGCGGGTCGACGACCTTCGTCGTCGGGGGTCGATGACCTTCGTCGACCATCTTTGTCGGACACCTCGGTCAAGATTCCAAAATGTCAGCTCCTGATTGGTCAGACGCGACCCTGCGCAGACGAACACCCGCGAACTTCTGCACCAGCTGCGCCACTCTGGTCGACGAACTGCTTCGTCGACCATCCTCGTTGAACTCCTTCATCGACCACCCTCGTCGACGAAGTCACAGTGGTTCCGCGCAGGTCGACGACCACCTTCGTCGACCTCTGCGGAAGGTCGGCTGCACCTCCCACACACCCGACCACAAAGTTAGTTTTGCCCATGCGAGGGCGGGGCCAACTTCCTTCAACATCTGCATCTGCAAAAAGGAATTTGCAAAAATACAAAAAGGAGCGCGAGAAACAACAACGGAGAACCGACATGACAAGAAAACAACGGCCAACATCCCACATGTGCCAGCTGCCGGCAATGACACCGACGACTCCAACTACGACAACGGTGAGGCGCCAGTCAATCCTCATTTTTTTTTTCCACGGAGCACCTCCCCCTCTCCCCTCTACCAATAGCACCACGTGGTCGGCGGCGACATTCAACCCGCTCGGACGTGCGGGCGAAAGGGAGGTCCTAGAGGACATGAGGGCCTACCTAAAACACACGGAGTACAAGCTGCAGCACAGCGACTTGGCGGGCGGACTCGAAATGGTCGTCGCCGCCCTCGATGACATCTCGGCGCGCTTCGACATGTTTCAAGTCGAGGATGCTTCCGACGAATGCGTCGCCAAGCGTTGCAAGATGTACTTGCAGAAAAGTCTTCTCACCTCGCGGCCATTCAAGCAAGCAGTCGCGGACGTGGCTGCCATGGACCGAGCGGCGGCGCTCATGCTCGCTCCAATCACGGTGGGAACCGCGGTGGCAGAATTTTTTTGCTTGTTCGTTCGAGAGAGCGAGAGAGAGAGAGAGAGAGAGAGAGAGAGAGAGAGAGAGAGAGAGAGAGAGAGAGAGAGAGAGAGAGAGAGAGAGAGAGAGAGAGAGAGATGCGCGGCGGATGCGCCAAAATCCCCTCTCAGGGCACGCCCAACGGATGCAGTCCCTGCTGGGCCCGCGAGCAGGGGACTGGCTGCTGGCAATCCCTCTCTCTCCTCTGCGCTAAGACTGCGCCCCTCCCAACACTCTACTGCTACTCCGCATCGCCTTCCACCTTGGCCTCCCCCTCCCTGTCCCGAGGCGGTGCGACTG